AAATTGCTCTCCACAGCAGTCTGGGAACTCCGCAAGTTACGGAGGACTCCAGGGACGGAAGGGTCTGAAATTGGTCAAAGAAAGATCCAGGGTTTTGACATGGGCTCAAACTCCTAAAGCTGTCTCAAAATCCCGAAACTGCAGTTAGACCACAAACCCAGTTTAGGTGGGACAAACTTCCCAGCTTCCTGGCTGTGCCCACAACTCCTGCCACACGGTGCAGATTCTTCTACCAAGAGGAGTTCTGTTTTCTCATTTCCGGCATGTCTTAGCTAGGGTCCCTGTTGCTGTGATGGAAGACCATGACCAAAAGCGACTTGAGCAAGGGTTTGTTTTACTTATTCTTCCACATCAGTTCATTTGACGTGGGATGTCCTTTGGTATTATTGTTGTAGGGCCCGGGTCGGCCCTGCTTGATCACAGGTGGGTATGTGGATGGGAGGCTCACTTGCCTCTTATTGGATGTAGGCTGGAGGTATATCAGGATGTGTGCTTGCTCCTGATTGGACTTGATAGAAGACACAATGAATTACAGGTTTTCCTTCTTAACCATGACTCAGGGACATTTCCCAGGAACCTGGGTATGAACCTTGCCAGAGTCCATCCACCTGGCCAGGATTTAATTAAAGCTTGCTTCAGATTTGGTTTTCAACTGTGGTAGTGATCTTATTCTCAAGTGACGGAATTAACATTTCATCCTCTCTGATGACTCTAGCTTGTGCCAAGTTGACATAAAACTAGCCAGCACACAGCCTAAATCCTCAATTCTGGTCTCTGCCAAAAGCTAAAAAGCTCAAATCCCCAAGTTGCTGTCTGGTATGCAAGACCTTCTGCATTTCCCCTCTTACTTTATTCTGTTTCAGGATAAGCTTAGCTACACATTTTAAAAATCCATCCGTCTGTGTTATATCTCCAACAGTCCTAGGATTTGTCCAGCAGGAGAGGCTACTGGGCCCACCCACAATGTGAGGAAAGAAATTGCTTATAAAATGCTAAAGGCAAATGCTGCCTAGGAACCTGACCTACAACCTGGAGCGTGCACATAAAGGAGACTCATGGCAGGCAGGGTTTGGGTGCTGTGAGACGCAGGGAGTAGAGGGAGAAAAGCGTGGAGAAGACATTTCCCCACTCTCCTAGGAACTGTGACAGTCTGAATCTCTGCCCTTTGAGTTCATGAAGCTCGTTTGCCTTTTGTCTCTCTCACTGCCCCTCAGTTTGTTCCCCAAAGATGCCTAAAACCTTAGGAATCCCTGTATGCTTCAGGGATCCAACTGGGCAAAAAAAGGAGTCAGGCAATTTACCTCTTATCAAGTAAGTCCTGGCCAGGGTTTATTCTCTGTAAATCATGGAATCTCAGGAATCATGGGCCTCAGTTTATACTTAATTTTTATTTAGTTCTAAATTGGGAATTTTTAAAAGCAGACTAAAATAGAAATACCCCCTTTTTTATCTCTGGAACCCTACTGATGCTTAGCACATAGTTGTAAACATAGAAAACAGAGATTGCTCTTTAATTTCCCAGTAGCTCAGACCCGAATAATCACAAAGTAGCTATATGAATTATAACATTGCTTGGCCAATAGCTTAGGCTTCTTATTAACTAACTCTTGTACCTTAAATTAACCCATTTCTATCAATCTGTGTATCACCATGAGGCTGTGGCCTACTAGTAAGGTCCTAAGGTTTCAGTATGTCCTCCTTCGGCAGCTACATGGCTTCTGCCTTTTTCAGCAGCTACACAGCATCTCTCTGACTCCGCCAACTCCCCCCCGCCGTGTGTGTGTGTGTGTGTGTGTGTGTGTGTGTGTGTGTGTGTGTGTGTTCTGATTTCCCGCCTGGCTTTACTCTGCAAAGTCAATGGCCCAAAGAACTTTATTCATCAACCAATAAAAGCAATACATATACAGAAGGATATCCCACATCACATAGTCTTGTCAAAGCATCCAGTCTAGAGAGTCCCAAAATCTAGTGGCCACATTAGATTTCCTGGGTTCAGAAAACACTTTGGGAATGGGTCTAGGCCAACATTACCAGAAGCATCCCTAAGCCAGAGCAGACTGGAACCCTCTGTGCAAACCAGATTCAGTGTGAAGAAGCCTGAGTTCTCTGTTGGCAGCAATCCTCCAGCATGAGCCAGTCTCCTGTCATGTCCACATGTCCCCAATCCTTCTCATACTCCGGCTCTATCATTCCCTGCCCTACATAGGACGAATCAGTACCTCAGATACTCATGCATCCTGGAGAACCCCAGAAGCACAACAGTGCCCTTTTCCCTGAGAATGTGTTTGTCCACCAAATCTACAAACTGGCTTTGAAACACTCACTCAGTCTCACGGCACACATACTAAAAGCCCATGCATCCTTTGGAAATGGCCCTTTGAGGTTTTAAGCCAGTAGAGTTAAACAATTTATCCCTTGCTGTGTATTTTTTTCAGGTGACATTTTAAAGGTATTCTCTCAGTGGAAAGCTCTTTCCTAGAAAACGTGAGACAGATCACTGGAGAGTTCAAAGATTACATACGAGTTCAAATATTCCATAATCTCTAATAATGCATTCAATCTGAGAATTGTAAACTATTCACTTAACAACTACACATACCTCCTATTTCTTTTGATTATCAAAGTCAGCTTGGAAGATTAAAGTGTGGAGAAGACTAACAGGGATGCAGTGAACTGAGTCATTGGGCCAGTCTTTAGGGGCTTGTGTGCTGGCTATTCAGGCGATGGGTCCTTAAAATTCACTACTTAATAGGTCAACCACTCTATTATTCTCTTGAGTGGGGAATCAACTTGAATGTAACTTTGGGCAATCCTCCACTTATTGATCCATAAAATGGAGACAATTGTGACAGCCAAAGTTACAGTTTAAGTTTTAATTACTATGCCTAAGAGATTCCTGAAACAAAAATGTCTCTGATCTGCAAGACCCTTGCCCAAGGACAAACAGTCCCTGAAATGCTGGAGGCTGTTGTTTATGAGAAATGACAAGCCCCGTGTTCTCACTCCCCTCAGCAAGTTTGTTTGACCCATCTTCACCGGATGTGCTCGATCACACGTGGGCAGAAGGAACAGGCAGGAAATATGTCAGGATGTCGCTTGACCTTGATTGGATGTAGGCTGGAGGTACATCAGGATGTATGCTTGCCTCTG